TTTTTTATTAAACTTACGAATTTTGAAGATTTTTGTAAAGTTTTGGATTCTTTTTGATCCACGAAATCAAGTATTGGGGATAGTATTTTCTTTTATCAAATTTGTGTCATTTTATTTTGAATGTCCTGATAACCATCACTGTTCCAGAATGTGCATCAGTATCATAAACATAATCCCATAATGTTATCTATGAGATAGTTAATTTTGAAAAAAAATGTATTGAAGTATATAAATTTAGTTGATCTTCTTCAAGTTGAAAACATTTTGAGAATTTTTCATATAATTCATTAATCTTGGGTGGAAGAATTTCTTTTAAAGGACCAAACTAATTCCACCAATGGGAAAACCAAATTGAAAATTTATATTTGTTGTCAAATTTGAAAAACATTAATCAAGAGTGTCGGTTGTATTTATTGTTATAAAGAAAATTATTGAACCATGCTTGTTGATAATTTTAGTAGTTAAATACAACGCAATGGTCTAATGTATTTGAAAAACTTGTAGGAAACCTTTTGAATTGGCTAAGATTTTCTCCCCAGTCTCTTGACTTTAAAACTTTTAAAATTTGGACCGTAAAATGGGTTATCAATGTTGAATCATTTTGGTCAGTGTAATGTTTGAAAAAGACAAACCCTATTTGAATCAAAATATTCTGGTAATATTTTTGAAGTTTCTGTAAATCTCATGGTTTATAGTGTCATCCTTGAAAGGCTTTTCTGATGACTATGTGATGGTATTCATGGTAGAGACCTTCTTTAATAAGAAGAACATTTTGGGTATTTTTCTTTCGAAAATATTAGTTTTGCCTTTCTTTGGAGGTTGATGATTGGGACTGTGTTTGGGTAAGTGTTTGGTCTGAAAAAATGCTTTGTAAGTTTTTTGGTTTTGGTTTATCAAGAACAATTTCTTTTCTTGGGACTTTTGGAGAGCTGCAATGGTCGCTTGTTTAATTGGTGTGTCTTTCTCGGTTTTGGAAGCTAGGGCCAATGCTACTTTCAGGGAATTTGATAAAGATTCAATCTATTTTTGGATTTGGGAATCTATCTTATTTGGGTCTTGGGCATCTTGGTAGATGTTTTGATCCTGGGTAGGATTTGGGAAAGAATGTTGGGTTTGTTCTTCTTGTTCTTCTTGGGTACAGATTTCGTACCATTATCTGATGGGCTTTGGGATAATATTGGAGGATCTTCTCTCTTTGACTTTTCTTTCTCTTAATTTAGGGGGTATTTTTGCCTGCAAATATTGAGATTTTGAATTGAGACCTCTCTTGGACTTTGAAAATATTTGGAATTGACTCGGGATAAAAGATTTTGTAACTATATTTTGAATATTGTTTTTCTTTTTCTTTTGAAAAAAACGACTAAATCTTGCTATGGTAGGTTTTTAAGTTTTGGGGCATATTTTTCCTTGTAAAAATTCTCTTGTAAGAAAACCAGGTAAAGAATTTGATTCCCTTTGATATATTCAATATTAAAGTCAAATATATTTAAAATGGCTTGCTATCTGGTAAAAATTTGTTTTGATGTAATGTTTTGAACATCTTTTTGTAAAACTTCTTTTGCAGATTTGCAATCAATTCTTAAAAGAAATTTTTTGTTTAATAAATTACTTTGAAACTTTGAAATGCATAAGACAATTGATAAAATTTCTTTTTTTTTATCGTACTATAATTTTGCTGTGCTGGAGTCCAGTGCCTAAAAGTGAACTGAACTATTTGTTCTTTATTATTTTTAATTTGTTTTAAAATCCCACCATAACCTAACTCTAAGGCATCTACTTCTACTATCTTAGGTGCATCAGGGTCTGCTAAGTGTAAATATGGGAGTCCTTTAACATGTTTTTTGATTTGTTGTATTATTTTAATATGAGTTTTTGTCCAAGGTACTGGATTTTTCTTAAGTCTTTGATGCAAATGTTTGAATATTTTGCTTAATCCTGGATAAAAATCAAGAATATAATTGAGACTTCTTGAGAATCTTTGTAATTGAGTTTTATCAGTTATTTTATCTGAAAATTTGTCAGCAAATTTTATTGATCTTTCTATTGGGGTAATGGTTCCCTGTGTTATATAATGTCCTAAAAATTGAATTCTGACTTATCTTGGATTTAGACACAACTAAATTTCTTCCTCAATGCTAAGTGTTCAATTTTTCTTTTATTCAGGTAAATCACTAAATCTCATTTCTTTTTTATTTGGCTTCTTTATCAAAGTAAAAATATTTTATAAGCATACATGGCCTATGTTTAAATGCTTGCCAATTTTTTATGAGTGCTTTTTTAAAATAATTTAGATTAATACATGAATTTAAAGTACAAGGTTAACATTGAGGCTCCTCAAGATTTAGAAACCTTTAAATTCATTGAATTACAACATCTCCCATTTTGGAAGACGTGGTCTTATTTATTTGATTTCAAAGGTTGGCTCTTGTTCTTTACACAATTCCCATGCTAGAGCCAAAAATCTAATGCCATTCTTGAACAAAAGTTTCTGCATCGTGGTACCTTGCACTAAAAATTCTCATTTCGTGGACCTCATCTCTCAATCTAAACAATACGAATAATTGTTAAAACCCTTTCTTTTTCTAACATAACTCCCTTAATCATTGTGTGTTTGTGACACATTAACAACATCAAATACCTCCATTGATTCACTGCCAACATAAAAAAACCTTCATAATGAAATTCGCTTACCATAGAATTTTACGATAGTTGCCATTCAGTCATAATATACAAGACATAGTTTCAAATTAGTGATCTGGACAAGTATAAGAGCTGTGTTCTTATTTGCTCATTAACCTACAAATTTTCAAAATATAGAAAAGTGTTTTATGTTCAAATCTTTAGGAATTTGTTTGTGAGAATTTAGTGCTCCAAAATTTGTGGATTATCTTATTGTGGTAAATAAATCATTTTGTAAGATGCTTAGAAATCATGTCTAATCATGTGTTATTGTGCTGTACTTATTCTTTCGAAATTGATTTAGATATTGATTCTGTCATGTTTAATGCTTCTAGGTCTTTTGAAAAATGGCCACAGCTAAAAATTGTTATAACAGTATTAATTATAATTGCAATAGGACACTCTCTCAATCTTTAGCATATTTAGTTATTTAAGTTTATGTTGTTTGGATATTTGTATTTAATTATTTAAGTTTATATTATTTGTTTGGATATTTGTATTTAATTATTTAAGTTTATGTTGTTATTTGGATATTTTTATATGGTTATGTAAGTTTATGTTGTAGTATGGACATTTATTTTTAATTATTTAAGTTTATGTTTAAGATCTTTATTTTTGATTATTTAAATTTAAATTTTATTATTTATATTTTTATTAATTTAATTAGTACTTAATTATATGAAATATATAGGAAAAATATGATTGTACATAGATACGAGTACGAATTCAAGTTCGGGTAATTAGATATCCATGAAAAATATTTTAATAATTTTTTTTATCTAATTGGGTTTTTAAACAGATTAAGGTAATTATAGAATAGTGAGAATGTATTAGGATTAGGATTAAGATAATCATTTTTAAAATTATTTGGATAGTTAATAAGATTCAAATATTTTATTTTTATAAAGTTAAGATTTGAGTATCTCAAAATTAATGATTACGCCTCCTTTTGAGAATTTTAAATGGCGTTTGGTACTTTACAATACAATATGATTACAGGTAATATGATTGCAAGTAATGTAATTGCAGGGAACATAACATTACATTACAGTATTTGGTATACAAGTAAAATAATGATTAAAATACAGGGAAGATAACATTACAGCGTTTGATTTATAAGTACTTTGCTGGAAATGTAATGTTAATTTTTAAAATTAACCCTAGTTATTAAAATACAAGTTTAATATATTTATATTTTTTATTATAAATTTTTATTTAATATCATCTCTTAAATATATTTTTGATGTCATATATTTTATTTTTATTTATTATTATAATTTTATATATTTTATTTTTAATATATTTATATTTTTTATTATTAATTTTTATAATAATATCATCTCTTAAATATATTTTTAATGTCATATATTTTATTTTCATTTATTATTATAATTTTATATATTTTATTTTCATTTTTTAATATATTTTTTATATTATATATTTTATTTTCATTTGTTTTACCTATATTATATAAATTTTAATTTTTTATATTTTATTTTATTTTAATTTTTTATTATTATATTATATATTTTTATTTTAATATTTTTTATTTTAATTATAATATTATAAATTATTTTTAATAAAGTAATAAAGTTAAAAAATAAAATTGTCTTTAAAAACATTACAGAGTGTAATGTAATGTGACTGCATTAGTTTTGGACTGCAATCACATTATATCCCTTGGCTGTAATGCAATTGCATTGCAATCTTACATTGTAATGATCTGTTGTAAAATAAACATTATAATATAATTTAATTAAATATATTATAAAAAATATGTTCTCACTTTTTTTATATCAAACGTTACCTTAATGTCATTTTATGCGACATCCTAATCACTCGGGTTGTAAAGAAAACCCCACCTGCCCAAAGTGCCAACTACAGCAGCCTAACCTAAATTATGGGCTTGCGAATGTGGGCCACCTGGCTTGACCCAAAGCTGGTCCTTCCTTCTAACAATATTGCTTAAATAAAATGGGCTTGCCGCAGATTTCAAAACGACGTCGTTTCATGCAACATCCTAGTTAGTTGGATTGTAAAGCAAACCCCAACTGCCTATCTTGACAACAGTAGTAGCCCATCCAAAATCATGGCCTGTGGTATGGCCACCTGGCCTGACCCAAGGCTTATCCCACCTTCCAACCTTGCTGGTTAAACAAAATGGCTTGCTTCAGATGTTAAAATGACGTCGTTTCATGCTACATCCTCAACAAATCAAACGGTGTCGTTCTGCTGATCCTCCTGACATCCTTTAGTTCTGTCAACGGCGTCGTTTTGAGCGTCTCGAATTCTCAAACCCAAGTGCAGACGCTATATTCCTTCTCCTCCTCGCTTTAACCTCCTTCACCGACTTCTCTCCTTAACCGGAGGCTAGCAAAGCTCCTCCCTCAACCTCTTAAAACCTTGCCTCGACATCTTGTTTTTTTTTTTTTTTTCCTCTTAAGCCACTCTCACTACAAACCTAAAAAGAAACCCTAAATGGGACCCCTCTGTCGGACGCCGCCACAACCCTTTGTCCCTCTTTCAGGCGCGAGGCCCTAGAAAGTAGAAACCCTCACGACAACGTGAAGCTCTTAACCTCTCTCCACCGAGCCTCCATCGCTCTGAGTTTTCTCTTTTGGTTTTTTGGCTTGTTTGGGTTTTTGCTTTTCTGTGATTGGGTATCCTACCTGCTGCTAGACTAGGGTGATTGTCCTCTTATTTATGTTTTTTTTTTTAATTTTGGTGGTTTTTTCTTTATTTGTCTCAAGGGTCTTCTGATCTTCTCTAGGATTTCTGTTTTTAAGGTTTTTCCGTTTCTCAGGGGGCGGGCCTCCCCCAGATTGTAATGTCACTCTAGGCTCCCTTGGGTTTTTCGACTTCAGCTTGAAATTGAAAATTGTTTTTTCAATATTATCAGGTTATCATGAATTTTGCTTACATTTCTGAAATATTTTTGTTTTTTCTGCTGGACCTGTACAACATGTTTGCTCTTGTCTAGGCCCTAACTTTAAAACCACAAACGAAAGCCCTCAACTCTCATCTTAATCTCAATTTGGCAGTACATTCGCCGTCAACGATCTTTCTCTTTCTACCAATACTATGTATGTGTTATCTTTGTAATTTTTTTTAGATGGAATTCTGACGTAATCCAAAAGCAGATAATTCGAAATGAAGCAATCAAAGGATCCATTTGAAGCGGCGTTGGAGGAGCAAGAGGAATCACCACCTGATTCCCCAATTGGTCAGGATGAGTTGGACAGCCAAACCCAAAACCAAACCCCTGCTGGGCACCATACTCTTGTAGATGACGATGATTATGATGAAATCGGCACCAATGTCGATAATCCCTCTCACCAATCATCCAACCCCACTCCTATGTTGCTCACCCCCAGTGTTAACGCTAATGTTGCTTCTGCCGCCGCAGCCTCCAAGAACAAAGAATATGATGATGACGAAGAGGAGGAAAACGTGGATGTTGAGCTTGGCAAGTTCCCTTCTAGTGCTGATCCTGCTAAAATGGCCAAGATGCAGTGAGTTTACTTTTCTTTTTTGTTTTTTCCATGCTGCTTATTCCTGTTCCACTCTTTTATACCTTCATGTATCAGGAGAAAGAGACATGTTTTATAGTGTTTAAGCTCTCCTGTTCCGTGCTTACTGTTGCAATTCTCTAGAAATTAAGGGGACATTTGCCTAAAATTTTTAAATTTGTGCTTCTTTCCAGGGCCATTTTATCACAATTCACAGAGGATCAGATGAGTAGATATGAATCCTTTAGGAGATCTGCACTTCAAAAGTCCAACATGAGAAGGGTAGGCTTCTAAGCTTATTCTTTTTTGTGGTTCTTTGCTTTCTCGAGAATTTTTTTCCTTATAGATGGTGGATTATAATAATTTGTGCTAATTTTAACATGATCGACATTCTGAACCTGTGTTATGCTTCTTCAAAAGGTAAAAGTGATGTACTAAACTCTGGACATCTGAATTTGTATGAGATTCGTGGGGCTTACATCCAAGCTGCTATAGCTTAAATGGCTCATTTATGTATTGTGGTCTTGTAAAACATGATTTGATAATTTATAGACTTCAGGTTTGTGCTGGTGTAAATACAGTTGTTGGTTAGCATCACTGGGAGCCAGAAAATTTCTTTACCAATGACCATTGTTGTGTGTGGGATAGCAAAAATGTATGTTGGCGAACTTGTTGAGACAGGTATGTGCGCTTTTCTCCAACAGCAGTAGTGTTGAGATTTCATTTCCAGACACAAATCAGTTTGATTGATAAGTTAACAAACAACATGAACCATTAAAATCAGGGAAGAAATAGTTGTAAATCAGCACTTTGAAGCTTTCTCAGTTGATTGCATTGTCCAGAGCCAATGCAACAAAAGCTGTGATCCAATATATGGCTTAGTGATAAAAAAGATCATTAATCAAAATTTAGACAGCTAAGTCTATTTTCCATTATTTTGTGGTGGTTTGCAGCTAGAATGGTTATGACAGAGAGAAAAGAATCTGGGCCAATCAGGCCTTGCCACATCAGAGAGGCTTATAGAAGATTGAAGCTTGAAGGGAAAGTACCTAAGAAATCAGTGCAGAGGCTCTTTCACTGAGTGTATCAAGAGACGAACTTAGCAAACATTTATCAGGTGTTTACTAATTACATGGTTTTTAAATCTGACAACATTTCATCCTTTTGTTCCTTTCCAGTGAAAAGGTAGTGAGATACTTATAGGCCATAAAATCAGTGGCAGGTTAATGGAATCAATGTATACTTCTGCGATTGTGTTATCCAATTTTCTTTTCAGCTCCAAAAAGGTTAAATACAACAGAGAAACTTTGCCAAAAGTGATGGGGTTGCTTGTCTGTGAGAGCTTCAAAAATTGAAACGTATTGATATTACCGGTACTTATGATTATACTCCGATGCATGGCATGATGACTAGAGGGCTTCCCCAAGTATTGGGATGACGCTTTCTTTAGCTTGGTTTGTTGGAAGAAACGAGTCATTCTGCAGCACCGGCTGTTGGAGCACTATTCTCGTATTGGCAGCTTCTATTACGAGATGATGACCGATACTGTCAGGAGAAAGAACTACTTATGTTAGAAGCAGCAAAATGAACTCAAATCTGGAAGCCCATCCGAAAAAACAGAACTCGAACCTGACGCAAAAATGTATGTTGGAATTAGAAAAGCGGAGACTAATTGAGAGGCTAAGCGGTATATTAAGTTGAACAAAATCTTCCTGAATCATCACCACAGGATTTGCAAGTGGAATTGGAACTGAATTTGGGGAAGAATTTCTACTGCAGAATTGACAATGGTAACATTCAGTTTAATGAAGTCATCCCATGATGTGGAGGAGAAAATGGTTACTCTTTTTGGAGTTCAGATTAATTGATGGGCTCAGTGTTAATTCTTATTTATTTAGGCTGCCTGTATTTGGTTTCGTTCTTTTGTTTACCTTCTTTCCCATGTCACCTTAGCTCAATTGAGTTGCAATTGCCTCAGCAGTTATTTAGTTGTATGGAATAGCTAAACTATTATCCTTGCGATGAGGAGTGAATATGCTGTTGATTTAGACATAGTAACCCTACAAGACCAAACTTATATATATCTATTAATTAGCATGAGAAATGGCTGCTTAATTGTATTTTTTATTTTTAAAATAATAATAATATTTATTTTTAGATCCCTTAAAAGGTTTAAATTTATTTCTTAGTAAGGTGGCATCATTTGATGCCCTCACAAATATAAATTTAAAAAACAAAACAAAAGATTAGTTTAAAGTAAAACTACTAAGAGGAGGGGTGAATTGATTATTAAGTAAAAATCTTCGTTTTTTCAAAAATAAATTCAACTGTGAAAGATTAAAACAATAAAACAAAACATAAACTAAATAAGTAAAGAGCAAGAAAGTAAGAAAGGAGTCAATAGGAGATTTATAGAAATTCGGCCTTCTAATGACTTCATCTTCTCCCTTCATAACAAAAGACATTTGAATCTACTATCAATTTACTTTTTTAACAAAGTTAGGTGTAACCTTTACAACTTGCTTTTTGCACTATCAAATGTAATCTCAACAACTTGCTTGTTGCAATATCAAGTGTAATCTCTATTAAGACACTGTTTTTTCAAGTTAAAGAACAACATTTATACAAGAATAAACCTTATAAAGGATTAGATAAAATTCTTTTACCTTTTGCTTGATGGTATTATCAATACAACAATGGATTCAAGTGAACCAAAAACTATAAATCTCTAGAAAGGTGGATAATGAAATTTTGGTTTAAAAAGGTGTGAGCTTTCACAAAAATAAAAATAATAAAGAAAGGTCTAAACTGAAGAAAGATCAACTAAAGAATAAATATGAAAATTTTAAGCTTTTTGTTTGCTTTAAGGTAAGAACCTTTTTGCTCATAGCTGCTGTTATTGTTTTTTGGCTTTTTTCCTTTTCAAGAATGATTCAAAATCCTCTTCTTCTCTTCTTTCTTTAATGTCCACAAGATGTATATTTATAGCCTCTAAGATTTTCTACTTGTTAGAGTAAGTTTTGAATCATTTCTTACACGTTCAAACCAACTTGCATAATTTTTTTGTTTTTTTTAAATCAATCTTTGTAGTTGAATTTTTTGTTTTTGCAACGTTTGTAGCATTTTTTCCTTGAATAATCCATTTTTCTATTCCAAGGTGTTGATTTTTTTACAATTGGGCATAAAAGTGATACATTTACAATCTTGAAAAATTGTTTTTTTTGCCTCAATATGTTGGTTCTTCACTGTGGACTGAGACTAAATTTGTGCCATGTCTTTCTTGGTCATCAAGTTTTGAGTTGTACTTTTGGTACTTCAAAAATTGACTTCTTCTCTTTGTAGAATTGATTATTTCTTTTTTGCTTTACTCCTTTTACCTTTTATCTCTCCAAAATCGATTATTTGTCTCTTAGGTGTCAATTTTTCACAAGGTCTGTAACTTTTGTCTTTCAAATATCGACTTCTCCTTGTTTCAGAATCGATTCGTCATTATTGATCTTTACTTTAAAATTGATTTCTTTTTCTCCAAAATCAATTTTTCTTGTAAATAAAGAAATGTATTTTGCTTCTTTTTCATTTAAGAATCAAGTCATTTTTTCTGAAAACTTGATTCTTGGGCTAACACATATAATTTTGGAAACAAGAGACTTTTGAGAAGATTAAGAGCATGATCATCTATATTGAAAATATATTCAAACAATTAAAACATTTTAATATATTTTTCTATTTTAACAATCCTTTAAAGTTTTTCTTCATACTTAAAAATATCTTTTACTTTCAAAGCTCATTAAGTTCAGTTAATTTTGCCATGTCAAAATAAAAATAAAGTTAACAAATATGAAGTTGAGATTTAATGTTGTTACTTTAGCATGATTTCCAAGAGTTAAGAGTGATGTGATCTAAAAGAACATGACTAGAAAAATAATCAAATCCTAATGGATTGACGTAAGTATCTAAGGAAAAATTATAATATATCTCACATACATGATTTATAACTCATTGCTTAGGTGGTTATAAAATATTAGTTGTTAGATATAATCATGAGTTTAGACACAAAAAAATTCTGTATAGCTAAGAGCGATTAGAGGTGTAAAATCTTGTGTGATTAAAATGATTTTGGGTATGATGAGAACTCAAGTAGTGTTATATTAGTGAAATGATAACTTAATATCTTATTTCTCGTTGGTACCTTTATTTTCTTATTAGTCACATGTTCCATTTTCCTTATATAATAGTGAATGGAGAATGAGTTAAATTAAGAATGGTATAAGTTGATGCCAAATGTATACTAGTGGGAGATGTTAAATTTAAATGTGCTGCGTCTACATGACATGCAACTATATTAATTAGTTGTGAATAATTAATAAATATTTAATTAATTAATCTTGGATATTATTATGATATTTCTTAATTAAATAATTAAAAAATATTTGAGTAGGATATAAATTTAAATTATTTAAATGTAAATAAAGATTTATTACATTTAAATTTAAAAGAGATAACGTGCTTCTAAATCCTTAGTATTTCTATAAATACTGCCAGGAAAACTAAAACATTTTCTCTCATTCTTTATACTTTCTCTCATTTTTTTTCATTCTTGAGAAATCATCAAAGTCAAAGTGTTTTGGAGCATATAATTTTTCGTGAAGGATTTTAGTAGCCGCTCCATGATAACGAAAATGAAAAAATCATCGTATATACAAATAAAGGTATGTAAAACAAGCTTCTTTAATTAAAAATGGAGCAAAAAATTTATATGAAAAGACAGATACACCTCCCAGCAATAATAAAGTAAAAAAAAAATAAAGAATTAGTTTAAAAAAAATTATTTCCAATAGTACAAAAATACTCTCAAAATATAATTTTATTTCCTATAATAAAAAGATACTCTCAATATATATATATATATATATATATATATATATATGCTCTTTCTCTTTTATCGTTGTAATCATTTTTGGAAAAAGTTGCCGGTTTGGTAATCTTTTATAGGTTTGTAAAAACTTCAAGACTACGAGGGGGGCACGTGTCCACCGGCTGTCACGTGACAAAGTTTTCTTCACCGCGTCATAGAAATTTAAGCCGTGTACGACCGGCTGTTATCAGTGCAACCTGTTTCACTTCTTTTTTAATAAAAAAAAGTCTGAACTTAGATTCAATTTCGTTTCTTCTTTTTGAAATTTTCATCGCTTGCTGTGTCCCCTTTCGAATTTAAAGAAAGCCACCTTCCTTTCTATATCATTATCTCACTTGTACATGAAAAGCTTCTTTTATTTAAAACCTCCGGAGTTCACCGATTCAACTCGGTCTTTAGGGTTTTTCTTTCCTTAATCAGGTACGCCTTAACCTTCTTCGTGTTTCACTGCAAACTACCTCTGATGAAAACTTGCAATGCTCTGTTTGTTTGCCGAGAAAACTGAGGAAAAGAGACTAACAAAAAATGGCAAAATCTTTGGATCTTATGTCTTTTTTAAAACAATGAATCAATAATTGTTTTTTCTTCAATAAAGTTTGAATTCGTTTGTTGAGCGCAGGTGAGTTTTTTCTTTTTAATTTTTTTTTCTTTGATTCTGGTAGCGTGTGAGTTAGGGTTTAACATTTTGGGCTTAAAATCAAATCTTTGGTGCTCTAATTATATATATTTTTTAAATTTATGTTTTTGAGTTTTCCCTTTTTAATGGGTTGTTCCTGGAGGAACAAGGTTTCATAGTATGTGCTAATTAGTTGATTTTCTGTTTGTCCACGCCCAGCAATGAGGCAGCTAATGTTCTTTACTTTGATACTGTTGTATGATGAGCACATGTTATGTCTCTGCTAAGATAGATTTTCAGTTTACTTGCATGCTTTACCTGTTTGTAAATTGTTTTATTTAGAATCTGTTAATGAGTTGAATTCTGTTGTTTGGATTTCTATATATAGTAGAAAAGATGTCTCGAGTGGAGGAGCTATGGGAGCGGTTAGTACGGGCAGCTTTACGGAGGGAAAGATTTGGGATGGGTTCAATAGGTCAGCCTGTTAGTGGAATTGCTAGTGGAATTGCTGGATATGTTCCTTCTTCTCTTGCGAACAATAGGGATATAGATGCAATTCTGAGAGCTGCAGATGAAATTCAGGATGAAGATCCCAACGTAGCTAGAATTTGTATGTTATTCTCTTCTTCCTTTGGTATCTAAGATACCTAGGTATGAATGTTTTGTTATTCTATCTTATAATCCAACAATGTTGCAGCTCTTTATATTTATTTATGTTTCTACATTGTAAATCATTGGAGTTGGAACTGGCATGTTTATTTCTGTTTGAATTTTTGGATGATATGTGAAATGGTTCAAATATATGTCTTAATACAATGCTGTATATTCATAAACCCATTAAATCATGAGGAAACTTTTATCAATTGTATTATTTGCAGGTCACATGACTGATGAAGTCACCAAAAAAGAAACTAAATTTTGTTCATTTTTACATGTTTTCTTGTATTTGATTATGATTTATGTTTTTTCTTTTACTGTACTAACTTTAAACCCTTCTCATTATAATTGGCTGTTGGCGATTTATATTCTCGATATCCTTGTTGGATAAATAAGTTTAATGCCCTCATTTTCTATCCTTTATTTTTTAGGTTGAATGTGTTTGACTCTTGTAATGTTTGGTACAGTGAAATGAGGCCAGTTTAAATGTTCATTATATAGTATTTGATGTATTCCAATTGTCACTTTTTCAGTGATTTATTTGTTGTACTGCATGATTAATCATGTTTTTCTTTTTGAAATTTTTGTTTTATCTCCCATCATTTCATAAACCTTCAGCATTTGATTTCGTTGAATGGTCATGAACTTAGATTAGGATATTTATGCATCAGAAAAAACCCCTCATACTCCTCCTAAAACAAGTGCCTTGCTTTGTGCACATGCATTCACATGTCATGCATTTAAATATGTGCTTGTGTGATGACGGGATGTGCTCTTCAATTTTAGTGGAAGTTTTGGATAAAAGCCCTTTTTACTTTTCATTAATTTTTTGGTGAATGAATTATGGCTGTCAGAGGGTT